CAGCAAAATATAGTCAAGAGCCGTCTCACAGAGAGCAACAGAACATTGCAAGTTCAAAGGGGATATTTAATCAAAATAAATTCCAATCCATAAAGTTAGCAGGTAGGACTCTTAAGAGATGTTCTGTCAAAGTTGAAATGATTTTGGTCTCATTTTAAATGTGGTGCAGCTTGAGGTCTGTGTAGCATGTCACAGAAAAGGAGTCTAAGAAGAAAGGTGATCTAGCCCTCTGCCATTTATCACAGCAACTTTAACTGCAAGCTGGTGTTTTCCAATGATGGTTTAGAAAAGGAATTTGAATGGCACCTGTGCAAAGTGCACGGCCACTGAAAGATGGATGGGGGAGTAGAGCTCTGGGAAGCAGGAAATTTAAGACACTAAGTCCAAACAGGGCATAGTTGTCACTGAAGAGTTTTACACCTGGAAATATCATGTTTAGATTTTGATTTTAGAAAGACTATTTTGACTGCAAAGTGAAAAATGGATTGGAGTGGTGAACAAAGAAGGCAGAGAGACAGAGTAAGAAACATGAGGTGATGATTGCCTAAACTACAGTTGGAACAGTGCAACTAGAAAGAAGTGGACAGAAGTGGGTGAGTTTAAGAATGTAAGGAAAGGAACTTTTGGTGATTAATTTAATTTGAAAAATATGAGATATAGAGAAAATAATTAAATTTAATTCCTGTTTTTTTCTTGGACAATTGAATGGAGGATGGTGCCACTTACTGAGATTATAAACAAAGTATTAAACAGGTTGGTTCAAAGTAGAGAATGGTAGTTTCAACATGGGAAATGTAGACATAACCAATAGGTAGTTAAATACAAGGGTCTGGAACTCAGGAGAGAAATATGGCCCAAAGAGCAATTTTTCCCTTGAGTATGGAGGAGACCATCTAGAAAGAGGGAAGAAAGCACCTGATGGGATAAAAGAGAAACTCAAGAAGGAGCAATACAGATCAGAGAAAAAGAATGATGGCAGCACCATGAGATGAAAGAGAGAGTATTTGAAGAAGGAATAAATGCTTATGAATGTTTGTTATGCAATGCATAACCCGGGGTCTAAAAACATCATTTAGGCTTAACATGTACGAGGTCACTGGTCACTTGTCAAATTGTGTCAGTGGAGCTGTAGGTGACGTAAGGGAGAGAAATCAAGGGTAGACTACTCTTTAAAGAATCCTGGTGACAAATGGAAATAGAAATGGCAGTAGCTTGAAAGAGTGTCTAGGCTGAAGAATAAATTCAGTTTATAGTAAGAGAAAAATTTGAGCATGTCAGTAGGCATCAAGAAGTTGAACATGTAGGAGGAAAAGTCATAATTCAGAAAGAAACCATAAGAGGAAAGAGGAAATTTAGAGCTTTGGTGCAGGGATGAGTCTTATTAATTCACTTACAGTGGAATTATAGTAATTTGTATAATAAACTAATTTTTAGAAAAAAGATGTGCCACATCCTGTAAAAACACCCAAGACAAAATACATAAATAACAGTATACTAAAGGCCTCTAACTGTTGTGAGAGGCCACTTTTCTTCTCCAGTCTTTGAGACCACTAAGGAAGGTGCTGTCAGCAGTATTTTTTCTGATAAGAGTTTCAAGAGAATCATAGAGAGATATCTGTACAGTGAACAGCAGCAACTTGATTAGAAAACAAAAAGGTGGTGTCAAGTTAAACATACAGACTTAAGGCTACAAATTAAAAACGTTGACCTGGGGAGAATAGCCACTGAAGGAAATGTGTTTTCAAATCCAGATTGAAAAGAGTGTTTGTCAATGTCTTTGGTTACCTATTGATGAGCATTCCCATTATCTATCATGGCCATAACAAATTACCCCAACACTTTGTGGCTTCAAATGATAGCACTCGATTATTTGGGTGAAAAATCTGTAATGTGGGCAGGGATCTGGGAGGTAGTACAGCTCTGTTTCTGCCATGCAGAAACAGTGGAGGCAGCTGGACCAGAGTAAGTGGACAACTTAAAAGGTGGCAATTTGGTGTTGGCTGCTTGCTGGAAGCTCATCTTGAACTTCACCTGGAGCCTTAGTTTATCTGCACATGATCCTCTCTAACAAGAGAACTTGAGTTTTCTCACATCTGAGTTCCAAAAGAGAGTGTTCTGAGACAGAAAATCGAAACTATGTCTCTGTGGCCTGACTACAGAAACTGACATACCACTCAGTAATATTCCATTAGTCACTGCAGTCACAGAGCCTTCCTAGATTCAAGGGGAAGGGATAAAGGATATGGACCATGGTCTCTTGATGGGAAGAACTAAAAAAAATAAATAAATCTGAACATCAATCTTTTTTTAAAATTTCTTTAACAATAGGAGATAGGGAGGATTCCATCACTTGTATCACTACCATTATAGGAAGCTATCATTTTGACTGAACAATACTTTTGGTAATAAGATGTGAATTTGCTAAAGACTTACATATATATTTACCTTTCAAATGGGGGGGAGGTGTTTTATAAAACACATCTTCCAAAGGATCATTAGGAGGGGCAGATATCTGAAGTACTCTACCAGATGTGGAGTTTACTGAATATTTCCCCCCAGGAAATCCTGATGGGTCTTATAGCACCTCTGTGTGTACATCTGGCTTCATTTGCAGCTTCTTGGTCCCATCTCTAGTATGACTATTAACTTTAGTGATGCTGCCCATAGAGCTGATGTCTATTAAGGCCAGCCAATTACATTACTTTGCTAATTGTATTAGAATATTTAACTGAGCAGAGCCTCTTTGTGTTTTGACAGATAAATTGTACTGCATAAATAAAAGCACTTATTCAAAGTGGCAAATTTGTTTTCAGATTTTCCTTGGAGATGGCAGTTAGCATATGACCCTCTGCTATTATTTTTTAGGATTCACATTCTGCAGTTTGTAAATGATTTTGGAGTCTCAATACAGAAAACAAACTCTTTGCCAAGTATTTCTTTGGTAGAATCAGCAAATCCACCTCCTCCAATAGCAAGAGGATGGGGAACTTGGTCATGTTTTTATTATCCTGCTCTAATGAACCAAGTCCAAATTTCCAAAATGTGAGTTCTGTGTTTTCAGCTGTAGTCTCTGAGATTTGTAATCCTAGACTGGTGCCAGGAACATTGTTTTCATATCAGCAAAACACGGGAAACCATATTTGCAAATTCTTCAAGATCTCCCGAAACAATCTGCTACAAAAATGAAAACTATTATTATGACAGTACTTAGCCCACAATTTGTTTATTATGCACCCTAATCTCCTTATTTATTCTGATTGAAAGCAATCACAAGTCTGTTCAACACTAAGAGTGGGTGGAAGTAAGCCAAATCCAGTCTAAATGCTGAGGACAGAAAGCACGGGCATCGTTGAAACTTCAGAGTAAATGTCACAGTGTGAAGGGTGAAGGAGGACATTGACCTTGAGTATGCAGACTAATTTGATTCCTGTACTAGAATCCAGAACCTAAGACCTTATTCTTCCCCAATGAAAAGGAGATTAGCTTTCTCTACCATAGTAACCAGTTTATTTAATACTTTCAAACAATAACTGGGGCTATTAAGGTGTGTAGGAGAAAGAAAAATTTCTATACACCTCATGCCTCTTCTCACTGACACTCACCCTAGCACTAAGAACAAGAGACCCTCTCAGCTGTGAATGAATGTTTGGACTTCTATAAAAGATACAAATGAATGATTCTAATATTTTTCCAATAGGGTGCTACTCAAGCAAAAATTCAGTCAAAAATTCATATATATTTGCTTGATCTTTTAATTCAATGTTTATAAAATTCAAGATTTCATACTCTGTGAGCTGTTTCAGGGTATTTTAGGATAAACTCTTGAAGACATATGAGCACATTTGGAGACTGAAATAACTTGAATGGATAGAGGTTATTGAAAAACTGACCTGTTAAAACACTTCTAATTATTACTTTGCATGAAGTAACTGTTCTTATAATTGAGTTTGGGGCAACTAAGGATCAAACACCCTGTTCTATTCATGTACTGACAAATTTTAATTTCACTTTTTATGATTTCTACAAGTATTCCATTTTTCTTAAAATTAAAAAAAAACCATGTTATATAATAAGTTATGCCTGTACCTGTGGGCGGGGGGAAGACAACTCTCAAGAATTACTTTAGTGATATTTTTCATTATGTGGGCAAAGCAGAGAAGAGAGAAAGCTAATGAGGGTCCCATGAGTATTTATTCAGCTTATCAGAAATTGAAGCCATCTGGGTTCAGAAAATGTTTTGTAGGGTATCTTTGTTCTGCTTAGAGTCTATCTGCTTAGGAGTTGTCTCTGGTCCTCTCCATAAATTCTAAAATGTCATGTGATGATCTAAAATGTCTAATCTATATTTGGCATGCCAGTAATGAAATAATTCATATTTAATTTTCTTCTACCTATTTATCTACAACTTAAAAATTATAAACTATAATATTTAAATTACTAAAATATAAAATGTCAGCTCTGATAACCACTCTCTCATCTTATTCTTGATATCTTGCTAATGCAATTACAGAACCCAGTCACATGGCCTCACTCAACTGCAATGGAGCTTGGAAAATATTTCCTTATGCGTCCAGAAGGGAAGAGCAATTGACTTAAGCAACTAGGCAGTCTCCACCACAAAAGCCTATATGGTAGGTTTTAATGGGATGTAATGAAAAAAGGATGTATTTTGAGATCACTGCAGCTCAGCTCTTTTTAAAAATCTATTCTTTTTCCTATCAGACTAAAATTTTCCCTAGACATAGCTGTTCTTAAATGCTTTCATTTACTGTCCCAGTAACTAACTGCAGCATACCTTACTCCAACTCAAATCTCTCTTGTTTGTCAGGCCACCTGCAGCATTTTCAAGGACTGTTCCATTTAACCTGAGACTACGCATTGGCCTACTGCCAGTGCTTGGAGAACACTGTGATATCACTGCATTCTAGATGGAATGAACACTCCAGGCTCTGACAGCTGGAACTCAACTCCTCAAATTCTTCACTGAGTAGTGGTAACAAAGTCCTAGTGGCCTCTCTCCTGCATTCTATCATTTGGATCACCATTACTTAAATCTGCCTTTACTTTTGACTTAATAAGGTGAACTAACCTGAGCACAGCCTTTGGCTCCTGTCTTCCTCCATCCAAATGCTTGAACTGCAGAACATAAAATTCTTGAGAAATGATCTCATTATCCATTCACTTACTAAAGAAAAATACTGTCATTGAGATCTCAGAGAAATGGCCTGTCTACTTAGCCTACAATTTGTTTATTATGCACAGTAATCTCCTTATTTATTCTGATTGAAAGCAATGTTACCTATCATTGTAAACATCATAAAGAACAGGATTGAAAGGATTTTGGTGAGTATACAATGCTAGTTAAGAAAGGCACTAGTGGCCGGGCACAATGGCTCAAGCCTGTAATCCCTGCACTTTGGGAGGCCGAGGCAGGTTGATCATGAAGTCAAGAGATCGAGACCATCCTGGTCAACATGGTGAAACCCTGTCTCTACTAAAAATACAAAAAATTAGCTGGGCATGGTGGCGCATATGTGTAATCCCAGCTACTCAGGAGGCTGAGGCAGAAGAATTGCCTGGACCCAGGAGGCGGAGGTTGCAGTGAGGGGAGATCGCGCCATTGCACTCCAGCCTGGGTAACAAGAGTGAAACTCTGTCTCAAAAAAAAAAAGAAAGAAAGGCACTAGTTAAGGAACCCCAAGGCTTAGTTAGATGGAGCCACATTTAAAATGAAAAGATAAAACAATTTCTTAGAGATCTGGAGAACTGAGAAAGGATTCTCAAGTTCAAGATGAAAGAAAGAGTTTGTTAGAATAGTAAAAAATAACAAATACCCCAGAAACTGTTAAACTTTCACCAAGGTTCTCCGTTGTTAGGACTCATGTTTTTCCAGTTGTATTAGAGAAAAAAAAAATGATAAAGGCATTTATTTTCAGTCTTTCCCCTGCCTACCACCTTCTTTGCACATGTAAATAGTTTATTCCTTTTTGATACATAATAATTGTACATATTTATTGGGTAAATATATTTTTAATACAATGTGTAATGATTAAATTAAGGTAACTGGCATATCTATTACCACAAACATTTATTATTTCTTCGTGTTGAGACATTCCAGATCGTCCGGTTATTTTGAATTATACAACACATTGTGTAAACAGTTTACTCTTGATAATCAAATTGCAGTAAACCTGAAACAATTTTATTTTTTCAACTGTCTGCTATATTGTACAAAATTTAATTTCCTATAGGATAGTGACATTGTGAAATAAGTATTGGACGTTTTATGCTTGTAATATTTGGCCATACTCATTTTTATTGATACTCAGTCCTGGTCATTTTAAAGCTGTAGATTAACTTTTAATTATACAATAGCAACATGAAAAAAAATTTCCATTTCTCTTTTCTCATAATCCACCAAGCATCCTCCACCCCAAATATTCTCACACAAAGACTGAATGTCCAGCTCCCTAGGGCAGAAAAAGGTTTCCTTTCACACATACTCTCTCCTTTGAGGCAGATAGGTTAGGGGAGGCAGAGATTTCCTATGTGGGGACCCAGGGTTGCTTTGAACACTTTCTCTGTTCCACTTTACTTGTCATAACAGCTGTCTCTCTGTGACAGGTATACTGATCCCAGCTCACACTTGATGCATGTTGTGTGTTGAGGTATGTTGAATTTATGGGCTGTTGAAAGGGCACTCCTGCACCCTGTGTGTGGAATCTGGCTTAGGTTTGACCTTTTCTTTCACATCCACCTTTGGTCCCTGCCACTGGTCCTACAAATTGCTGGTATTCCACAATAGTCATAGGATCCGGGGGTACACAAATGAGAAACAAGACATGGTGAAGATTCTTCAGGGGGTTCACCTCACCTAATTTTAAGACCATGTGTTTTCTCTGTAAATATGCAGGGCAATGATTTATCAAAATCAAATTTTTAGAAAGCTGAAGAGACATATACATGTCAATATATTTTCTGGTGTCTATCAACTGTTATTTTAATGCAACCAGCTGTTTCTCCTTCTTACTACAGGTATAGAGTTCAAGTACCATTTGGTCTCAATATCTTGTTGAGGAGATAAATGAAACAAGATAAAAACCATTCAGTGGGCTCTTTCCGCACAGAAAAGCACACAGCCTGTTATGGAATAAAGAATTTGTAGCTGAACTGTTCTACCCAACGAGGTCATGAATTATCACAATCTGGGGAAAAGGACAATTTCTGGTGAAAATTATAAAATTGCTGACTTCCTGACTAAGATTCCAGGAAATCTGAGATTTGACACTCCTATCAGAAGCTAAGGAGAGCACAGGGGAAGTACACAGGCAATATATAAGCTTTCTCTACAGAGTTTCAAAAATCCTGAAGCAAAGAACGTGATAACTCCTAAAATTCCTGTTGTCACACCTGTATGGGAAATGTTTAATGGTGGTTGTTTCTTAAAGAAAGAAAAGAGTGTACACATGAGTGCTAAGCCATTAGAAATAAACATCAACAAAAAAAATTAATTTTATTGATGTAGAAATAGAACCAGTGTCATTTTCTTTTTATAACACATAGTTGCTAATGGAAACAAGAATAGTTGAGCTATCATGTGATATTATTAGATGAAGTTCTTTAATCTTAAGAAAACATATTGATAATCAAACCTAAATTGCATTTAGTGAACTCCTGTAGTCTAAAAAGATTTCAAAATCCTCCATGTACGTCTACAAGTAGGTTTTCTATAAGCTGGTAAGTTGCTGTTTTAAAATAGTGTTTTGCTATGTACTGTTATGGTCAACAAACTGGCAGAAGAAGTATCATTGGAAAACAACAGAAAATACAACCCAAATTTATACACATTTGCATACTCAAAGACAAATATCAAAAAATTATTTGTGAGCTATGAAACTCTTTTCAAACATAAGGTCTTATTTTCGTGCCTACTATACATTTTCCTTATGCTTATGATAGTCTTTAGTAGAGTGAAGAAACCTTCCTGTTGATTCTAGTTGAAGAAACCGTTATCATGGAAACTTAATTTTCTATTATTGTCAGAGTGGTAAGCACACATACTGGGGGAATGTTCAACTTGTTTTTAAATAAATCTATCTACTGCTATCAGCTTAAAGAGAAACAGCCTTTGAATAATTGCTTAAAACATGCTATTTATTTCTGAAATTAACAGAAAGGGCCTGTTTCAGGATTCATTTAAATCATTTAACTGGCATGGAAAATACAAAACTCTGAATTATGGCTTTCCTTAAACACATAAAAATCCATCGATAAGATTGTTAAGCTTTGCTGTGCAAAGCCCTGCTATCAAATCCTCATAACCCTGTATGCAAATACCATGCTTATAGAGGATCTTCATCTGAGATCTAATATCTTCATTTTAAAATGAGCTAGCTAAAGGTTTTCTGAGTTCATTATTCCTATCTCTTTATTCTTATTCAAATGCTTGTGTTAACATTAATATGTTTATTAGAACACCTTTCTGCTAAGAATATTAAGGAGCTTTGACAAGCAAGCACAAACTAAATCTTCCCTGAAGAGTAGGCTAGCCCAAACTAAGTTAGAATGATAGGTAAGTAAGACAAAAAAAAGAAAAAAAAAAGCAAGGTAGAGGTTAAATTCCTCTGCTTAAGGTCAATCAGTGAAATAGTCAGTGTCTACTTTATATCAAACAGGTTAACCCTTTGCAAATGAAAGACTCAAGTAGCCAAATGACACTTACTGCTCACACAGGTGTTTGCAAGGATAAACTGTGAGACAAGAGAACTACCTCAAATCAAAGAGTTTCTGACAATAGCAATTTGACAAGAACTACCTGGATTACTCTTAAATTCAGTTTATAATTGGTCTACTCAGGTATGTATTTTAGGATAGTTATTGGTATATATGATATAGCACTGAGAATCCTGAGAGGAATTACTATGATCTTTCCAATCTTGGTAAACAAGAAATTATAAATAAATTTAAAAAATCCAGTACAGACTAAATTTGCTAAATCCACAGGAATTCATCTTTCTTATTCTGGTGTGTGTGGTGTGTTTCTGGTAGTGAGGAAAGATGTCTATCAGAGGGCAGCATATCATACCAGTACTATTTTCTTCAACTGCATATAAGAAATATATATACCTCAATTAAAAAATAACTATAGACCAGGCACAGTGGCTCATGCCTGTGATCCCAGCACTTTGCGAGGCCGAGGCAAGTGGAATTGAAGAGCAGCCTGACTAACATGGAAAAACCCCAACTTTACTAAAAATACAAAATTATCTGGGTGTGGTGACACACCCCTGTAATCCCAGCTACTCAGGAGACTGAGGCAGGAGAATTGCTTGAACCTGGGAGGCAGAGGTTGCAATGAGCCAAGATCGTGCCACTGCACTCCAGCTTGAGCAACAAGAGCAAAACTCCATCTCAAAAAACAAAAAATAAAAAAATAACTACAAATCACCATAAATAACTTATATTTTTATGTGCCTTTAAGGTTTAGTTGTGGAATATCAATCACATGGGTTGAGTCCATTGGCAAGATGGCCAAATAGGAACAGCTTCAGTCTGCAGCTCCCAGCAAGATTGATGCAGAAGGTAGGTGATGTCTGCATTTCCAGCTGAGATAACTGGTTCATCTCATTGGAACTGGGTGGACAGTGGATGCAGCCCATGAAGAATGAGGTGAAGCAGGGTGGGGTGTTACCTCACTAGGGAAGTGCAAGGGGTTGGGGGATTTCCCTTAGCCAACGGAAGCCATGAGAGACTATACAGGGAAGAATGGTGCATTCTGGCCAAGATACTGTGCTCTTCCCATGGTTTTGCAATGGGCAGACCAGAAGATTCCCTCAGGTGCCTACACAACCAGGGCCCTGGGTTTCAAGCACAAAACTGGGCAGGCTCTTGGGCAGACATTGAGCTAGTGGGAGGAGTTTTTATGGCACCTGGAATGCAGTGAAGCAGAACCATTCACTCCCATAGAAAGGGGGCTGAAGCCAGGGAGCCAAGTGGTCTACCTCCGCACATCCCAGTCCCATGGAGCCCAGCAAGCTAAGATACACTGGCTTGAAATTTCTTGCTGCCAGTACAGCAGTCTGAGGTTGACCTGGGACACTTGAGCTTGGTGGGGGGAGAGGCATCAGCCAATGCTGAGGCTTGAACAGGCAGTTTTACCCTCACAATATAAACAAAGCCATAAGAATGTTCAAGCTGGGTGGATCCCACTGAAGCTGAGCAAGGCTGCTGTTTCCAGACTGCCCCTCTAGAAGATTCTTCCTTTCTGGGCACAGCATCTCTGAAAAAAAGGCAGCAGCCCTAGTAGGGGACTTACACATAAATCCCCCATCTCCCTGGGACAGTGCACCTGGGAAAAGGGGTGGCTGTGAGTACAGCTTCAGCAGATTTAAATGTCCTTGCCTGATAGCTCTGAAGGGAGCAATGGATCTCCCAGCACAGCATTCAAGCTCCGATAAGAGTCAGACTGCCTCCTCAAGTGCCACCCTGATGCCTATGTATCCTGACTGGAAGACACCTCCCAATAGAAGCCAACACACACCTCATACAAGAGAGCTCTAGTTGGTATCTGGCAGTTGCCCCTCTGAGACAAAGCTTCCAGAGAAAGGAATGGATAGCAACCTTTGCTTTCTTCAGCCTCTGCTGGTGATACCCAGGCAAACAGGGTCTGGAGTGGACCTCCAGCAGACTCCAACAGACCTGCAACAGAGGGGTCTGCCTGTTACAAGAAAAACTAACAAGCAAAAAGAAATAATATCCACATCAGCAAAAAAGATGTTCAGAGACCCCACCCAAAGTCACCAACATCAAAGACCAAAGGTAGATAAATCCACAAAGACTGGGAGAAACCAGTTCAAAAAGGCTGAATATTCCAAAAGGAAGAACACTTTTCCTCCAATGGTTCACAACTCCTCAACAGCAAGGGAACAAAACTGGATGGAGAATGAGTTTGAAAAAGTGACAGAAGTAGGCTTCAGAAGGTGGCTAATAAAAAACTCCTCCAAGCTAAAGGAACATGTTCTAACCCAATGAAAGGAAACTAAGAATGTTGAAAAAAGGTTAGATGAATTACTAAGTAGAATAACCAATTTAGAGAATAACATAAATGACTTAATGGAGGTGAAAAACACTGCATGAGAACTTCCTGAAGCATACACAAGTATCAATAGCTAAATTGATCAAGTGGAAGAAAGGATATCAGAGATTGAAGATCAACTCAATGAAACAGAGTGAAAAGACAAGATTAGAAGAAAAAAAGAGTGAAAATAAATGAACAAAGCCCCCAAGAAATATGGGACTATGTGAAAAAAACAAAACTGTGTTTCAAATACCACAATTAAAAGACATAGACTGGCAGATTTGATAAAGAGTCATGACCCATTGGTATGCTGTATTCAGGAAACCCATCTCACATGCAAAGACATAGGTTCAAAATTAAAAAATAGAGGAAACACACATAGGCTCATAATTAAAAAATAGAGGAATATTTACCAAGCAAGTGGAAAAAAAACAAAACAAAACAAAACAAAAAAACAGGAGTTGCAATCCTGATCTCCAGTGAAACAGACTTTAAACCAACAAAGATCAAAAGAGACCGGGGAGGGCATCACATAATGGTAAGGGGATCAATGCAACAAGAAGAGCTAACTATCATAAATATACATGCACCCCATACAGGAGCACTCAGATTCATAAAGCAAGTTCTTAGAGACACACAAAGATACTTAGACTCCCACACAATAGGAGTGGGAAACTTTAACACTCCACTGTCAATATTGGACAAATCAACATCTATAGAACTCTCCACCCCAAATCAACAGAATATACATTCGTTTTAGTACCACATCACTCCTATTCAAAAATTGACCACACAATTGGAATTAAAACACTCCTCAGCAAATGCAAAAAAATGAAAATCATAACAACAGTCTCTCAGACAACAGTGCAATCAAAGTAGAATGCAGAATTAAGAAACTCACTCAAAACTACACAACTACATGGAAACTATACAACCTGTTCCTAAATGACTACTGGATAAATAACAAAATGAAGGCAGAAATAAAGATGTTTTTTGAAACCAATTAAGAACAAAGACACAACATACCAGAATCTCTGGGACACTGTTGAAGCAGTGTGTAGAAGGAAATTTATAGCAATAAACACCCATAGGAGAAGGCAGAAAATATCTAAAATCGACACCATAACATCACAATTAAAAGAATTAGAGAAGCAAAAGCAAACAAACTTTGCTAGTCAAAAGCTAACAGAAGACAAGAAATAACTAAGATCAGAGCAAAACTGAAGGAAATAGTGACATGAAAAACCCTTCAAAAAAACAAATCAATGAATCCAGGAGCTGGATTTTTGAAAAGATCAACAAAATAAACAGACTGCTAGCCAGACTAACAAAAAAAAAATAGAGAGAGAAGAATCAAATAGACACAGTAAAAAATAATAAAGAAAATATCACCAC